AAACTGTTAGAGGTCGGAATAGGTTCTGCTGGTCGTTTTTGTGCTCTTGGCTCGCTTGAATCTGACATAGGTCTTTTACGACCAATAACTAGCTCCCAGGAGCCAACATCAGTGTTTGTATCACTATTTGCTAAGTTCATATTGCTTACCTCCTCGTGTTGTGACCGTTCCACCATCGTTGGCGGTGAAATCCGCTCAACCTTTGTTTCGTTTTTTGTCTTCAGCTCTGTTGTCTTCAAAAAACACTTTTGCTACACAAAAAAAATGAGTATTTATACTAAATTATCACTTTTTAGGAGAGACAAAAGCAAATTAACCTTTAACGTTGTTTAACATCAACAGCTGTTTTTCATTTTTCGTTTTTCTATTTAGCACGGATTAAACTGGCATCTTCCCATCTCCCATGGAAATCATAACATGGCTTTTGTTTATTTAATAAAAGTGAAAAAAAGGTAGTTTTAATTTTTCATAATAGACATCTTACAATTTTTCCAATTACATACGATGTAAAAACAATTAATTAATAGCACCAAAACTATTTTTTTGTTCACAGATCGGGCTTGAATTTCGACCACTATTCAATTTTAGTTATTTCCTTTAGTGTGAAAAATTTTACTCCGCCGAAATCATTCTACAAGCACATATTAAACCGAAACAAAAATACTTAAATTCAACTGGCACCATTAACGCTTCCGTACAAAGGGAAAAAAATAATGAAACATTTGTTTAATGATTTTACCTAAGATATTAGTTATCTTATTTTTAAATTTCGTTTAAAAATCACAAAAGGTTTTGAGGCGAGAAAATATTTATTAGATATTCAGAAAAACACAATTTTCAAGAACTGTAACGGTATACGTAAATTATATTAAACAAATAATAAAATAAAAAATGAAAAACATAAATTCTTCCTTTAATTTAAGATAACTTGAGGACTCATTTTACACGGTTCACTCTTCAGTTAATGAGGCAAGTGAATTTTGAAGGAAGTTGAATAGGGTTGTTTTAAAAATCTGTTTTATGAATTATATTGACAAATGAAATACAACTTGTGAATGGTATTATATAATGAAAGGAGGTATCTGAAGAATCATTTAAGGTACGCACTTAGAAATAGAAGTTTAGAATCAGTTAATCAAATTAAAGAGAAGTTATATTATTTTCTGTCCTTTAGTTTCAAGTACCTAAGGCTTTATTTATCAATTTTAGACCCTACAATTTTTTATACGAGAGTCTTTGCCTTGCATTGTCTCAAAAATGGTACATTTTTGGGCTTAAGAACGCAGGGTCTGATAGTGCCGAAGGAATCCGAAAGGGAAAAAAGAAAAGAATTCGGAACTATCAGGTCTTGATGTCCGCATCAACATCTTCAAAGCCCAATTTGTCCCGTATCGATATACAAACTTACTACCGTTCCAGTATTGAAGCCTTTTGAAAATATTTATATCGAGTATTGAATTTATGAAGAGTATTGAAAATATTTATATCGACTTTATTTATTTTAGAAAGACAAACATAAAAAATAAAGTGGAGAGTACGAATCGCTAATCCCCCATGAAATTCTAAATCCAACAGTACTCCATTCTTGGCATTTGAGTATGACAGGAGCTTATATTTGGTGCAAAACCGATTTCGAGCCTTATTATAATAACATATGTGGAGATTTCACAACTTTGTTATTCACTTTAGTATTTATTCTTTATTGTTATCAACAAAACCGTCGCACAAACTCTAGGAAGTTGAATATACCTGTGGAAATTGACTAAATATTGATATTCTCCGTTATTGTATTTTTTATATTAATAGATTATTTTTCAGAAGTTTGATTTGACATTCAATATTTCATAGATTTTTTTTTCTTCTATTTTATGTTACTTTTATTTCAGAAAATGACAAAATAACATATTCAACAAGAACTTTTAATCAGGAAAAATCAAAAAGAATACTAAGATCATATATTGTTGGAATTCATTACGTCATCAATTATGTTTAAAGAAAAATGGAGGCTGAAAACGTTCAGGAAGATCTAAAAATTTAATCCTTCTGCTGAGCAAAAATTAATATCATTTGAATTGATACAACTGCTAAAAATCTAGAAGAGTACTGGCTGATAAAATAACCAATGTTATTAGGACCCAAGGAAACTCATATCACAAGGCTTTAAAGGTTGTATTTTCAGAAGAAAACCATTTCTTCGCTCTCTTAACCAGTGAAGGTAACATAAGTTAGCCAAAAAACAAGAAAATTGGACGGAAGAAGTGTGAAAGAAATATTTATGGAGAGATAAATTAAAATTTCAAAATGTTTAGTTACGGAAGGATCAGTATATCAGAGAAGATTTGGAGTTGGAGATCCATGCAAAGCAAAGGCAAAAATCTGATGCGCGCAACACACAACTTTCACTTACAGCTCTGCTTTGAATAGAAATTATATTCTGGCAATGCTGGGCTATTATGCAAGTTTTGAAGTGTATTTTAAACAGAGCTCCAATCTTACAGATAATGAATCATTAAGACCATTAAAATTACAAAAAGTCGATTTATTATATCGACGGTAAGCGATAAAACTGTAGTTACTCCATCTGCTTTAATAAACCACATAACTTCAGTCTCTGAGCCTTTCAGTTGACAGAATGACTAACTCCATTTTCAAAATTTTTAAGTAATGTCATTTTAGTAATATTTTTAGTTGAAAAAGTTATCTATATCGACTGTGAGTAAATTGATTCCAGAATAGGTGTTTGCAGTGTTACAACTGTGAATAAAGGTATAAATTTGGTGCTAGAAACATAACTAAAATTAATAATAAAGAATGTTGAAATTTGGATTATTCATTCTGTCAACCGAAAGGCTCATATATGCCTAGAGAGGTTTGAAAGTACATCTGAATATTTAACCTATAAATGATTATGGATTGTAAATTGGATTCGTAAACTGGATTGTAAATTGGATATTAAACTGTTATTTTCCATTTTAAAGTTTACTAAAACGAAATTGCCTTCCATGGATAGGTCAAAAATTGTCACACTAATTGTAAGTGGATAATGTTGGGATTTCACAAAGGGAAAATTCATCAAATTATTCAGGTAAGTGAGAGTAAAAGGTTATGAAATCTAATTTTATCTACTTGAGTTGGAAAAAGAGTAATTCATTCAACTTTGCGGCGGTTGCAATGACGTTGAATTTGGAGTAAATCCTAAGTTATGAATGCTTTAGTTATCAGCGGGGAGAAAATCCTGTAAGGAAATCAAGTATTAAATTTTGCAATTTTCGGTTTCTATAACAATACATATTTGAGAGTTTCAAAGGACGCTAAAACGAATCCAACTTGCTTCCTCATAACAAAAATTTATTTGGCCTACTTTATTGGAAGCTCCTTTTGGTTTTTTAATTTATGATACATAATAACTCATTTAGTGCAATAGTCAATTTATTTATTTTCGATTATTTTAGGGTCTATTTCTATTATTTTACATAGAAATGTTACATTATATTATTCAATAAGTGAAGTTAAATTGGTGAAATCAAAAGAATTAAAAAGTTTAACATTGGTTAACTTGAGGACATTTATGTATCGTGAAGTACGGAAATGTCGACTTGCTTTAACTTCTCATCCGTTAATCCTATATCAAAAAACTACTTCAAAGAAACCGACTGTTCGAATTTTATCCTCATCCAACCACCATTTGACTGGATTAATTTGATGACTTTGACGCTGTCAGTTTTCAAAACTCTACCTAATAAATCGCCAGTCAAGTTTAATTTTTCTTTATCTCCATTCAAAATATCAGCTGTCAGTTCTTCAGTTAAATGAAATGTCAAATTTCTTCACTTTAATTTAAATTTTCGTATATTGAAAGCAACGATTTTCAATATTGAATAATAATTAAGTAATAAATAATTTGAGATTTTTTTCAGCTCCCTCCAACTGTACTACGGATACCTCAATTTTATGAAAACTTCCTTGTTTAATAATCTTAAAGTCCATATTATTTAGAGGTTTGTTAGAGAATAAGTTAAAAATTACTAGAAGTTATGTAAAAGAACTATGTGGTCTAATATCTGTCACCCCAAAAGTAACTGTATCCAGAAAAAAATAACTAAGATATATTAAACAACTAAGTTGTGGGCTTTATACCACACGATATAAGTGAAACCATCAACAAGGCGAGATTAACAATATGAAATATAAATTATAAATATCAGCTCATTACAAAGAAGATGAAATGCTGCACATTTCCCTCGTTTACAGTATGTAGATTCAATTTTTAGTATTTGAAATGCTTTAATCAATATGTTCAAGTAACCTTATCATTTGGTTTTCGACACTATTTTTTCCTTTTCGCCTCCCTAACAAGGCATCGCGTTAAGATACAATTTTGAATTATTGCCTATTACAGAGAGAATGGCACGCTGAACAATTTCCAAGCTTACAGTATGCAGACCCGATTTGTAGTTTCTGAGATATTTTAAATCATATGTAAAAACATTTCAATTAGTCGACTCTAGCCGCCTTTACCCGAGCGTTAATACTTCGGAAATCACCGCTAATGACCCGCTAGGGTAGATGCGGAATGTAACAATAAATAAATAAATAAAATAATACTTCGGAAATCTGACGGAATAATCTAATCCCACTCTATAAAAAAAAGTGCAAAACGCGCCTAAAGAAGTTCTCACTTCAAAAAATGAATCAGAAATATGTATAAAGTTCTCACTTTGGAAACTGAGAATGGTTTAAATTCACAAAGTATCAACTGCTATGGATGTAGTTCTCACTCAAGTTTTAGTTTTTTATAAATTTAATCGAACTGATTTTTACCCGACTATGAGAAAATATAGCAAATTTGAGAAAGTATTTGAAATTGTATCCGAAAATTTAATCATTTGTACAAATACATTCATAAATACAAGTAGTAATCTGTATTTGTTTGTATATGATAATACTAAATACAATTGTAATCGGTATTCATGAATACTTTTGCAAGGAAGTATTATGTATTTAAAATTGCGAGTAAAATATGACCAACTCTGATCTCCAGGTGGCACATTGATTTATACATATGCAATAATTATATAAGTGGGATTTGCTTCATACTTGCTCTTCATAGGTTGTTAATTTTAAAACCTGAAAATGACTACTGTTTGCCTTTCTGATTTAATAAATCTGTCATTTGGGAATTGTGAGGTAATGTTAATTTTCATAATCATTCTAAACCGGTTTTATGTATTCCCTCATGATTTGTTTCACAGATAAGAAATATAAAGTTTCGTGTTTTACAATGGTGCTTACAAGTAATAGCTCATCAACTAGACTTTGGAGGATTATTAGTAGAGTTCAGAGGAAATGACTCTAGTTTTATACAGGTGATTATCATTAACAATTTTACTGTTATATGTTATGCTTTAAAATCATTATAAGACAATCAAATTGGTGGTAAAACTTGGTTACAAACATTTTTGGTGAATTAAAATTTTTGGAAACATTGGCTTCTGTACAGCTCATTTCATGGGTTGTTGATAGAATTTGTTTCTTTAAAAAATATTGTTAGTTTTAAAATATGGTAAGTGATTGTTGTTTGAAGGTAATGCATTCCTCTTAATTATTAAATTAGAATATTTGGCCCGTGCGGATTATTCACAAAGTATATTGGTCAGTGAACAAATGACAAAATTATGATGCAACGTATAATAGGATGGAAGAATCTGTTCTTATTGTCTTGGTCATTATAGTCAACCAATGAAAACAAAATTAATTTAAAACATCATTCATGTTTTAAACCAACAGGTTTACAAATTTAAATAATCTGTACCTTTGCTAGTAATGACTGAATGAATAAAAATAATTTTATTATTCTGGGACTAGTGTCCCCCCCCCCCCCACTAGTACAGAACATATATTAATATTCTGGTGTGTTCATAAAATACAATTAAATATTTACAGGATGATTAGGAATACAATAAAATTATAGATAATAAAAGGATATAAAAACGTAAATAAATATAAAATAAACAGAGAAAGTAAATTAAGTAAACAAAACATCAATGAATCACAAAATAATCAAAGTATCTGGGTGTACTTTGAGATTCTTACAGCTTAGGTTTTTAAGTGCATTTCGTGATCAATCGGATTGGGAATGGAGTAGGTATTTGAAAAGGAGAGATTGGAAAGAGGATACTGACTTTGTGTGTCGATTCTGAGAGTATAGAGTTCCAGAGGGAGACAACTTGAATTAAAAAGGATTTGTCAAACACAGCAGTTCGGTGAGGAGGAGGATAGAGGTCGGACGTACGGGATTTGGTGAGACGGGATTGAAAGGAGCAATTGAATTGTAGGATTTGTAGAATATAGGAGACTCGCCGAGTTCTAATTGCCTGGTATAGGAAGGTTGCAAGGAAATACTGACGGCGGTAGGACATAAAGCCACTTCAACTCAGTGTAAAACTGGATAATATGCCTTATCCGTTCAGATATGATTATCTCTTCAGATCCCGAAGATAAATCGGATTGAGCAATTCATTAGACGTTTATGTTTAGCTTCGAGTTCTATCGAGAGTCCACCATACACTATATAGCCATAGTCGAAGTGGGAGAAAACAAGAGATGAGACCAGGTCTTGACGGGTTTTGAACGGAAGAAGATAACGTAGATCGTTAAACTATTTCAGGGTGGAAATAGTACGCCGGGAAATTTGGGAGATTTGTGGTTCCCAGGAGAGGGTTTGCTCGAGGGTAATGCCAAGAATGGATTTGAGGAGTGAGAGGGATCCTATCAGGATGGCTTTTGTCTTCTCCGTATTTAATGTGAGCTCATTGAGATTCGCCCATGCACATGTTCTATTGATGTCTTGTTGCAGTTTCTGAATGGCAATAGAGGAATCCGCCGGGTTGAAAGAAAGATAAATTTGGACGTCATCGGCATATAGGTGATATTGACAATGCATGATAGAGGAAGGGAGTTCTTTGATGTAGACGGAAAAGAGGGTGGGGTATAAAGAAGACCAAGAATCTTGGGGGACGCCTCTGGACAGAGGTAGAGACATTGATGGAGGGTTATTAGTAACTACAACGTACTGGGAGCGATCGGTGAGAAAACACTGGAACCACTTAAGTGCATTAGATGATAAGAAAATATTTTTAAGTTTGCTTAGGAGGGTATTATGGTCAACTGAGTCGAATGCTTTAGAGAAATCAAGAAGGATCAGGATGGTAAGTTTCTGTTGGTCTAGGGCTGTGTGGAGATCTTGGGAGATTTTAATGAGGGCGGAATGAGTGCAGTAGTCAGGTCTAAAACCAGACTGGAAGCAGTTCAAATAGGTATTTTATTCGAGATATTGGGATAGTTGGGATTGCACAATTCGTTCTAAAGGTAAAAATAATTGGGAATAAAGGAGGGATGCATCAGAGGTGAAGCTGGTGCTTGGACAGAGGGATAGGATGAACAGGAGACAAAATGATTGTTGAGTACATCAGCTGAAACACGGGTAGTCTGGGTTCGAAGCAGCTTGAAATTCGTTTAGTTTTCGGGGAGTCGAGTGTGCTAAAACCTTCGTCTTGCTGCGTCTCTTCGTTTGATACAATTTTTTATTACAGGCGTCAACCAAGGGGCTGGAGGGTACTTGATTGTCCTGACTTTAAGAGGAGTATGACGGTCTAGGATAATGTGCAGTTGATTGATTAAAGTTTCTACCATAAAATCAACTGAGTTAGAGGAGTATATGGAGTCCCAGTGGATTGTGTCAAGATCGGGCGTCAGAGTTTCGGATGATAGGTGATTAAGGTTTCTAAAAGATACAGATCGGGGACGGAATAGAGTAACAGGAAGATTATAGCAGACCTGTATGAGGTCATGAGCAGACAAAAAAGGAACAGGATGCTGTGATGAGGCGAGGAGTTCATCATTAGAGTCAATAATGCAAAGATCGAGCCAAGAGTCTGAGTATTAGGTGTAATGGGTAGGGTTGTACGGGACTAGAAACAGATTAAGAGAGTAGAGGAGGTTTGATAAATAGGCAGAGGAAGGAAATAATAGATTGGTATTGAAGTCTTCGGAAAGAACAATATTATATTAGAAAAAGCTAAGTTCGTAAAGGATGGTCTCTAGTGTTTCATCAAAGGACACTCTAGGAGGTCGGTAGATGACACCAATGAGTAATGAGTAAATGAGTAGGTGGATATTTCAGCAAAATGGTATTCGATATGTGGGGAGACGGAAAGAGGAGACAAAGCAAGGATTTTGGATTTCAGGCTACCATGAAGAATCGTGACGGAGTAGGGTATAGTCAGGGAGTGAAACTTGAGAGGATTTGATCGTGGGTTTTAGCCAAGTTTCAGAGAGAGCGATTTGGTGGTAGAAGTTGTGGAGGAAGAATTTATGGAATTCATCTATGTGGGCTAAAACTGTGACTGCGTTGACATGACAGGATAATAGAACATTAGTCATAAGAGATGATAGATTCGGATAGTGAACCGGTAGGAGAGGCAAAAGATAAGGAAATAGTTAGGTTGGATTCATCTGAGATACACTGTAGATGCTGAAACAATAATAACATCAAGAAAAAATAGGTAGAAGAAATAATCCAGATAGTATCCTATAATCAGTGAAGATAAGATACAAAAAAATAGTAGATCCATATAAATAGAGAACAAAAATATACTCTTGCGAAAAATGAGCAATAATACTAATAAAAATAATAATACTGATCAATATAATTGCTTCTACTGGGGAGACTGCAATATACACATAAACAAAGTTGAAAGAAGTATTAAAGTTAAAGAAATTAAGTAAACAGAAGAAAGTAGCTAGAAAACGAGGTGGTGGGTTGGGGGAACGAGAGCAGAGAAGTCAAGCGAAGCCGTCAAGATTAGAAGGTGAATTTACAGCAACTACGCGCTGACCATCGGTTCGCCTACACTTCACTTTGCCATCACCAAATCAAACATATTTTATTTTTCTAGCCATCTTCCTTTGTCTGGCTAGCCACTACAGGTGCCTGTTGGTCAAGGTCATTGCTTTCCGATGAAAATTTTTTAGCATCGTTCTCCTACCAGCCTATGTGACGAGTGGAAAAATCTCTTACCACTTTACGTTTATGAATCAGCTTATCTCTTCGCATTTGCCGGACAAATCTGACCAATAGTGGAGCGGAAGTGTTATCTTGCCGAGTTCTTACCCTCTCTAAGCTGTCCAGATCTTCCATCTTTAGGCTGAGCACTAGCGCTGCGCCCATACTCACTACGAGGCCCATTGGAGTTTCACCAGGTATCACCAAAATTTCTCTAGTCTCCGCGGCTCTAACATGTATTCCAATGAAATAATGATCCGAATATTCCTATCCTCCTGGAAAACCGTCCTAATCCGACCTTTGAATAAAATTCCAACTCCTACCTCACTGCACGATTTCCGTCCTATTTCTCTCATATTCAACCTTTCAAAGCCGTTAGAACGCCTTGTCCAAAATCAACTCTCCAACGTCCTAGAAGAACGTTCCCTTATCAATCCATTCCAATCTGATTTTCGACCTGGCTACTCAACGCAATCCGCTGTCCTTAAAATAACCCATGACCTCCGAAACTCCATTGAACACCAAAACCTTACCATCCTCATCCTTCTAGATTTTCCAAAGCGTTCGACACAGTTGACCATAACATCCCCCTTACGAAATTGCACAATCTTCCTCTATGCAACAGTGCCATGCGTTGGTTCAAATCCTTCCTTTCAAATCGGCCACAGCATGTAGTCGTCCCAAGTCAACTTACATCTAAGACTCTCCCCCTCTCCTGTGGTATCCCTCAAGGTTCCTCTCTATCTTCTTCTCTGTTTGCTATTTACATTAATGACCTTCCCCTCCTGATCCGTCACTCCCAATACCATATCTATGCAGATGATTTCCAAACATATCTGTCCTTCCGCCCTTCTGACCTATTAGCCACCACAATAAAAGCTTAAAGAAGATTTAAATAGAATATATGACTGGGCAGGAGCTAACAAGCTGAAGTTGAATGCGAAAAAGACCAAGGCATCCTTATAGTCTCCAATCACCTCCTCAAAACTGTTCCTAACATTCCAATCTTGTTCCTACATGATAATCCCATCAAATTTTATCCCTCTATCAAAAACCTTGGAATAATCTTTGACCAAACGCTTTCCTGGAAAAACCATGTATCCAACATCTTCCACCGTATCCTTTCCACCTTAAAACGCCTAAACTGCTTCCGTCACTTATTTCCCCTTGAAAGGCTCCTAGTCACTTCCTTAATTTTCCCCACTTTGAATATTGCTGCTCGGTATATGGGGGTGTCTCTGCTTTTTGCCTTCTTCCAACACTTTCTCTGGCAGTTTCAAATTTTCGACAGAGCGAATAGTA